GGAAAAATCTTTTCCACTTCCCCATGGAATAAAGGAAAAAAAACAAGAACAAGAATTAGAAAGAAAATAGAAGAGAACCCAGAGGGGTGTGTATATATATGCTTATACATGTATGTGTAGTGTGACCTAAGTGTAAGTAGAAGTAGCAAGACTTACCTGTAATCTTGCATATTTATGAGACAGACAAAAGACACCAGCAATCCTACCATCATGTAAAACAATTACAGGCTTTCATTTTACACTCACTTGGCAGGACGGTAGTACCTCCCTGGGCGGTAGCTGTCTACCAACCTACTACCTACAGTTTATACAGTTAGTAACTAATATTAGGATTATTGAGGCAACTTTAGATATTAATAATGTAATCCTAGGGCCTTAACATTGGTAGGCTTAGGCTTTTAATAAAGGTGAATATTAGGTTATGTTAGCCAAGGAGAACTGGCAACCCCATGCTTGAATTAGGCGGGAGAGAGATGCCAGCTCTCCCTTCTTGGACTGGACACCGTGGAGACAACAGTACCCAGAGCTACAGCTTGGTGCCCCACGTGTCTCCAAAATACTTGGCCTGAGGAATAAAGAATCATAGAGGCTTCCCAATGTACTGTGGGTATTCGTCTCTATCCAGGTCCCCACAGTAAGACAATACCTTTCATTTCTCTTAGTATAAGTATAGCTGGCCGGCGATATTCTGAGGAAGGTGCGTCATTTGAGCTGTGGGTTATAAGCGGGCAAATGCCCACTGAAAGGTAATAATTGTGGGCATCTCCCCTTAAGCATTAGTCTGGAAGCTAGCATCACTTACTGCATAAATATGGCTTTGGGAATATCCTTTGAAATCAGAGAGCTGAGGTGCAGGTAGGACACTAATACCTTCTGAATACTTGCAGAAATTAAGCCCTTCACTGCACGTGTTGTCATGAAGGTGAGAGACCAGAGGGGTCTAAGTCTTGAGGAGACTGGAAGAACCTGGTGACATTATTCTCCACCAAGTAAGATAGTCCTTTTATTTGTGCATGTAGTTGGGAATTTTTCTTGCGAGTTCAGTTATATATGGAAAAGTGTCCCATAAATTACTTGAGACTGAGAACTATTCTCGGGGTCTGTGTCAACAGCACCTGCTAGGGTAAGCATCTCACTTGGAGGCAGTCCAGACAAATTTCTAGTCTTTGAAGGAAGCACCAGGGCTGACAGCACCAACTTGAACATTATCTTGCATCACTGAGTTCCCCCTGCTGTCCTGCTTTCTGATCCCCACGTTTCATTGTGACATGCTGTACTTTCTAGATCCTCTCTTAACCCTTTGACTGTCGCGGCCGTATATATACGTCTTACGAGGTACCATGTTTGACGTATATATACTCATAAATTCTAGCGGCTTCAAATCAAGGAGAAAGCTGGTAGGCCCACATGTGAGAGAATGGGTCTGTGTGGTCAGTGTGCACCATATAAAAAAAATTCTGGAGCACGCAGTGCATAATGAGAAAAAAAAAACTCCGACCGTTTTTTTTAATTAAAATGCCGAGTTTATGGTCTATTTTCGTATAGTATTTATGGTTGTATTCTCGTTTTCTTGGTCTCATTTGATAGAATGGAAAACATATTATAGAAATAGAGGTGATTTTGATTGATTTTACTATAAAAAGAACCTGGAAATGGAGCTCAAAGTAGGGAAAATGTTTGATTTTTGCCAATGTTCAAAAGTAAACAAATGATGTCATTGTCCAATAAATGTCCAACTAGCCATTCTAATATGCAGTCATGAATGGGTTGACATTATTTGTACAATTATTACAATATTGCAGTAGTCTGCATAACAGTAAGTCTTCTATTTTTTGTTTGAATAAAAGTTCAAAATAGAAAGCAAGAGTAATATCAGAGGGGCCAGGAGACATGACTGATGAACAAAGAAAATGTTATTTTAGAGCCAGGAATGTCTGCATTGTTCATTCTGGACCTTATTTTGAAATTGTCATATTTTTTAATTTTCGTGAAATTGGCCAAATTGCAAATTTCTGACCACATTATTGGGTAGTTGAAATCGGTAAATGGGCAGTTTCTTGTACTCAATCGATAGAAAAAATGGAGTTCTAGAGAAATAGCTATGAGTTTGGTCGACTGGAACAACGGAATTAACCGAAAATAGGACTCAAAGTGGGCGAAATCGCCTATTTGTAAATATCGCCGAGGTCGCTAACTTCGCGAAAGCATAATTCCGTCAGTTTTCCATCAAATTTCGTTTTTTTGGTGTCATTACAATCGAGAAAAGATTCTCTATCATTTCATAAGAAAAAATAATTTTTTTTTTTAAATTTTGCGACACCAGGAGACACCTCAGGATTGGGGGTTGCGACAGTCAAGGGGTTAATTCTTCACTTTCCAGTCATATAAAACTCAATTCCTCAAAGGATTTTTTTTTTTTTTGTTAGTGTTTCTATAGTTTATGATGTAATATGCTCCCACTATCTTGTGTCTTCCAAGGAGACCCCAAAACACTTCGCTACTTTAATATCAGTGTTGGTACAGGTAACAATATTGATGCATGAAACTTGACACCACTTCTGGCAAAGGTTCCTCTTCAGTATGACTTCTCATGTGACTTACTTAAGCTCCTTTTAAAAGAAGTCTTTCGGATATTCTGAACACTGATACGGCTTCTCTCCAGTATGAGTACTCATGTGACGAACTAATCCCGATTTAGCAGAAAAGTCTTTGAGACATTTTGAACACTGATATGGCTTCTCTCCAGTATGAGTTCTCATGTGACTGACTAAATTTGATTTTGTAGAAAAATCTTTGAGACATTCTGAGCACTGATATGGCTTCTCTCCAGTATGAGTTCTCATGTGATTCATTAAATCAGAGTTTCGAGAAAAGTCTCTAAGACATTCTGAGCACTGATATGGCTTCTCTCCAGTATGAGTTCTCGTGTGACTAACTAAATTTGATTTTACAGAAAAGTCTTTGAGACATTCTGAACACTGGTATGGCTTCTCTCCAGTATGAGTTCTCATGTGATTCATTAAATCAGACTTTCGAGAAAAGTCTCTCAGACATTCTAAACACTGATATTGCTTCTCTCCAGTATGAGTTCTCATGTGACTAACTAAACTTAATTTTGTCGAAAAGTCTTTGAGACATTCTGAACACTGATATGGCCTCTCTCCAGTATGAGTTCTCATGTGATTCATTAAATCAGACTTCCGAGAAAAGTCTTTGAGACATTCTGAACAGTGATATTGCTTCTCTCCAGTATGAGTTCTCATGTGACTAAATAAATTTGATTTTGTTGAAAAGTCTTTCAGACATTCTGAACATTGATATGGTTTCTCTCCAGTATGAGTTCTCATGTGATTCGTTAAATCAGACTTTCGAGAAAAGTCTTTGAGACATTCTGAACACTGATATGGCTTCTCTCCAGTATGAGTTCTCATGTGACTAAATAAATTTGATTTTGTCGAAAAGTCTTTCAGACATTTTAAACACTGATATGGCTTCTCTCCAGTATGAGTTCTCATGTGATTGACTAAATTAGACTTATAAAAAAAGTCTTTCAGACATTCTGAACATTGATATGGCTTCTCTTCAGTATGAGTTTTTATGTGTCTTATTAATCTTGATTTTACAGGAAAGTGTTTCAGACATTCTGAGCACTTAAATGGCTTCTCTCCAGTATGAGTTCTCATGTGACTGGCTAAACATGACCTTCTAGAAAAGTCTTTTAGACATTCTAAACACTGATATGGCTTCTCTCCAGTATGAGTTTTCATGTGTCTTATTAATCTTGATTTTGTGGAAAAGTCTTTGAGACATTCTGAACACTGAAATGGCTTCTCTCCAGTATGAATTCTCATGTGACTGACTAAACATGAGTTTCGAGAGAAGTCTTTCAGACATTCTGAACACTGATATGGTTTCTCTCCAGTATGAGTTCTCATGTGACTAACTAAATTTGATTCTGTAGAAAAATCTTTCAGACATTCTGAACACTGATATGGCTTCTCTCCAGTATGAATTCTCATGTGACTAACTAAATTAGACTCATAAAAAAAGTCTTTTAGACATTCTGAACAATGATATGGCTTCTCTCCAGTATGAGTTTTCATGTGTCTTATTAACCTTGATTTTACAGAGAAGTCTTTCAGACATTCTGAACACTGATATGGCTTCTCTCCAGTGTGAGTTCTCATGTGCTGTAGCAAGTAACAATTTTTAGAAAAATCTTTCAGACACACTGAACATTGAGGTGTTTTTTTGTCTGTAATAAATTTGGTCAGATATTCACACCGAGGTTGTTGTGAAGATTGTTTGAGTGAGTGTGATTGTTGATCTAATTGGCCTCGTACATGAACAACTGTACATTGTGTTGCCTCAACACATTGTTTTCCAAGTATTTTGGACATAGTGAACAATAAATTCTCAAATGTATTAACCTGTTTAACCAGAGGAGATTTTGAGATATCTTATTTCACATAAAAATATTTCTGTAAAATACTGTTATTATAAATATAAGAAGCACTAAACCTGTAAGGGTAATAGTGTGTCCAAGGAATGTGATGAAACTAGCTGATATTTATGACGCATTAACCACATGACACTGTTGCTGACACTGTAACTGTTGTATTAACACTGTGGTTAGTATTATCTTTATTATCAACACTAATTGTCACTGTATCAACACCCTCGTGTTGTTACTATTAACACTATTGTTGTCACTATTATTTACACTGTAGTTAATGTTACTGTATTACCACGGTAGTTATTATTGACACTGTAGATGGTGTTGTCATTGCATTAATACTGTAGTTAGTGTTGTCACATTATACATTATAGTATTTGTAGAACTTACAGGAGATTTCTAACACTGATGTTGGAACTACAAGTATCACCTTGTACCAGGATAACCTGCAGTACAAGTGCCACTTTGTACCAGGATGACCTGCAGTACTGACACAACAAGTGCCACCTTGTACCAGGATGATCTGGAGTATTGATATAAGTGCCACTTTGTACAAGGATGACCTGCAGTGTTGACACTACAAGTGCCACCTTCTTGTACCAGGATGACCTGTAGTATTGACACAAGTGCCAGCCTCCATTATCAGAATGACCTGCAAAATGAAACTGAAATTTATATTTTATTAATCATTAGATTATTATTATTTTAAACACACCAGCCATCTCCCCTATGGCAGGGTCAGTTGATAAAAAAAGAAACACTGTCTCCATCACTCACTCCATCACTGTCTTGCCAGAGGGCTGATATTACAGTTTAGATGCCAATCCAAACTGCAAAATATCCTCACTTATCCTTCAGAGTACAGGCACTGTTCTTCAGATCACCAACCCTCCTTAAGAATGCAGGCCCTGTACTTTGAACCTCCACTGATCATTCAGAGTGCAGGTAATGTACTTCCCACCACCACTCCTTCAGAGTGCAAATACTGTACTTCTCACCACCATTCCTCCTTCAGAGCGCAAATACTGTATTTCTCACCACCACTTCTTCAGAATGTAGGCACTGTACTTTGATGGAAAACTTACAGAATTACACTCTTGCAAAGTTAGTGTTCTTGGCGATATTTACACGTCGGCGATTTTGCCCACTTTGAGCTCCATTTTTGGCCAATTCCAATGGTCCAGTCAACCAAACTCATAGCTATTTTCTAAGTACAGTGGACCCCCAGTTTACGATATTTTTTCATTCCAGAAGTATGTTCAGGTGCCAGTACTGAACAAATTTGTTCTCATAAGGAATATTGTGAATTAGATTAGACCATTTCAGAGCCCCAAACATACACGTACAAACGCACTAACATAAATACACTTACATAATTGGTCGCAGTGGGAGGTGATCGTAAAGTGGGGGTCCACTGTACTCCTTTCATTCCAGCATTTGAGTACAAGAGTCGTCCATTTACCTATTTCAACTACCTAATAAAGTGATCAGAAATTAGTAATTTGGCCAATTTCACACAAAATTCAAGAAAGGCAATTTCAAAATAGGGTCCAAAATAAACAATGCAGACATTCCTAGCACTAACCCTTTCAGGGTCCAGAGGCCAAATCTCAAAGTGTGAGCCAGGGTCCAAGAATTTTGAAAAAAAAAAAAAAAAAAAAAAAAAAAAAAAAAAAAAAAAAATTTACAGAATTAAAGATAATAATCTTTTTTGTAGGTAATATAGAGAAAAAAAAATTCCAATCAGTACTTACCGAGATATAGAGGCATGAGGTTGACCCTCAATGACTGGGTGGCGGCAACATCCGTGACTTGCGTAAAGTTGTATTATTTTATTTTACGTTTTGGTTGCTGTTTTTCTTTTCCTTTCTAAATTTTTTCCGCAACTTTTCTGGCCTATGAGACCAATATAATGTATAACTGTACACTCGTATGCAACACAATAACTGCGCTAATTTAACATTATTTTCCTTACAAAACTTGTTTACAAGGTTATTGTAAACAAAATAATGATAAAAATATTAGTGCAGTTATTCTGTTGAATACAATGGTACCATATAGTACCATATGGTACAATGGTACAATTTACCATATGGTACAGATACAGGGATCCCAGTGGAAATAAGTCACCCTGACTTTTTTGGGTTATCCCAGGATATTTACACATTTACTGTTGCATTGGGCTGGTGCAGTGTGCTGCATGCTCGTGGCACCATATGGTACATTGTACCATATGGTACCATTGTACCATATGGTACTATATGATACCGTTGTATTCAACACAATAACCACTAATATTTTCATCATTATCTCATTTACAATAATTGTTTACAACAAAAAATATACAAAAATGTTATATACTGTATTAGTAATATTCTGTTACATATTTACATAGGTACAGCCACTGGACATGTTGCTAGAACTGCCACAGTCTGTGAAAGTCTCTGAAAGAAGGTGTCATGTACAGTTGTGTTTTGCTTATCTGTGAACCAGTATGATTTTATATTATGCTTATAGACATGAGGCAGAAGCATTATTGTTGCAAAAAAACAAAACAAAAGAACATATACATTTCAGCCACGGTTGTCTTCCACTGGTGGATGACGAAGCGCTGAGTCAGTGGCTTGGGTCCCAGACTCACTCCCAGTCTGGGATGGTGCCTCGTGGCACCACCGCCACCTACTGACCATGTGATACAGGGTGTCATGTGGTGTAGGGTACCATATGATACAGAGTACCATATGGTGCAGGGTACCATACAGTACAGGGCACCATATGGTACAGATACAGGCATCGCTACGGAAATAAGTCACCCTGACTTCTTTTTGGGTTATCCTAGGATCTTTACACATATGCTGCTATGTATGATAATATATGTAACATTATTTGTGTATACCTGACTAAACTTACTCGAGCGCATGTGGCATCGTAAGTTTATTCAGGTATACACGAATACACTTACATAGATTATCATAGCAGCATATGTGTGGAGAACCTAGGATAACCCAAAAATATCAGACAGACTTATTTCCATTATGGTACCATTGCACCATATGGTATCATTGCACCATTGTACAAAAAAGTACCATTGTACCATATGGCACTATTGTACAATATGGTACCATTGTACCACTTCCATCAGTGTTAGAACTATAACTTGGGAAGAGGAGAGTCAGAATTCGCCAGGGAGTGAGAGGTTCCTTGCCGCCAGGCATGGTGAACAAAGCGTACTTAGGCAGCATTCCCATAATGATATGTGGATGCCCAGATTTTTTGCTTACTGTGCACACTGACCACACAGACCCAGCCTTCTCACGCTAAATTTGAGGCCACTAGAATTTTGGTGTAATTCTACGGTTTGGACCCTGGCTTCATAGCCGTAGAACTACAGCACGGACCCTCAAAGGATTAATATATGATAGTGAAAATGTGTTATCAGGCTTTTGTATGTATTTGAAAGTAAAAAAAAGTTTAAGATTCACTTTACAGATAATTTTTGCTTTACAGCAGTAGCCTGGAACCTAACCTGCTGTATAAGCAGGGCCCTACAGTAGCCTGGAACCTAACCTGCTGTATAAGCAGGGCCCTACAGTAGCCTGGAACCTAACCTGCTGTATAAGCAGGGCTCTACAGTAGCCTGGAACCTAACCTGCTGTATAAGCAGGGCCCTACAGTAGCCTGGAACCTAACCTGCTGTATAAGCAGGCTCTACAGTAGCCTGGAACCTAACCTGCTGTATAAGCAGGGCCTACAGTAGCCTGGAACCTAACCTGCTGTATAAGCAGGGCCCTACAGTAGCCTGGAACCTAACCTGCTGTATAAGCAGGGCCTCTACAGTACCTGGAACCTAACCTGCGTATAAGCAGGGCCCTACAGTAGCATGGAACCTAACCTGCTGTATAAGCAGGGCTCTACAGTAGCCTGGAACCTAACCTGCTGTATAAGCAGGGCTCTACAGTAGCCTGGAACCTAACCTGCTGTATAAGCAGGAACCTAACCTGCTGTATAAGCAGGGCTCTACAGTAGCCTGGAACCTAACCTGCTGTATAAGCAGGGCTCTACAGTAGCCTGGAACCTAACCTGCTGTATAAGCAGGGCTCTACAGTAGCCTGGAACCTAACCTGCTGTATAAGCAGGGCTCTACAGTAGCCTGGAACCTAACCTGCTGTATAAGCAGGGCTCTACAGTAGCCTGGAACCTAACCTGCTGTATAAGCAGGGCCCTACAGTAGCATGGAACCTAACCTGCTGTATAAGCAGGGCTCTACAGTAGCATGGAACCTAACCTGCTGTAAAAGCAGGGCTCTACAGTAGCATGGAACCTAACCTGCTGTATAAGCAGGGCTCTACAGTAGCATGGAACCTAACCTGCTGTAAAAGCAGGGCTCTACAGTAGCATGGAACCTAACCTGCTGTAAAAGCAGGGCTCTACAGTAGCCTGGAACCTAACCTGCTGTATAAGCAGGGCCCTACAGTAGCATGGAACCTAACCTGCTGTATAAGCGAGGCCTACAGTAGCCTGGAACCTAACCTGCTGTATAAGCAGGGCCTACAGTAGCCTGGAACCTAACCTGCTGTATAAGCAGGGCCCTACAGTAGCATGGAACCTAACCTGCTGTATAAGCAGGGCTCTACAGTAGCATGGAACCTAACCTGCTGTAAAGCAGGGCTCTACAGTAGCATGGAACCTAACCTGCTGTATAAGCAGGGCTCTACAGTAGCATGGAACCTAACCTGCTGTAAAAGCAGGGCTCTACAGTAGCATGGAACCTAACCTGCTGTAAAAGCAGGGCTCTACAGTAGCCTGGAACCTAACCTGCTGTATAAGCAGGGCCCTACAGTAGCATGGAACCTAACCTGCTGTAAAAGCAGGCTCCTACAGTAGCATGGAACCTAACCTGCTGTAAAAGCAGGCTCTACAGTAGCCTGGAACCTAACCTGCTGTAAAAGCAGGCTCTACAGTAGCCTGGAACCTAACCTGCTGTATAAGCAGGGCCCTACAGTAGCATGGAACCTAACCTGCTGTATAAGCAGGCCTACAGTAGCGTGGAACCTAACCTGCTGTATAACAGGGCCCATACAGTAGCATGGAACCTAACCTGCTGTAAAAGCAGGGTCTACAGTAGCCTGGAACCTAACCTGCTGTATAAGCAGGGCCCTACAGTAGCATGGAACCTAACCTGCTGTATAAGCAGGGCTCTACAGTAGCCTGGAACCTAACCTGCTGTATAAGCAGGGCTCTACAGTAGCCTGGAACCTAACCTGCTGTATAAGCAGGGCCCTACAGTAGCATGGAACCTAACCTGCTGTAAAAGCAGGTCTACATAGCCTGAACCTAACCTGCTGTATAAGCAGGGCCCTACAGTAGCATGGAACCTAACCTGCTGTATAAGCAGGGCCCTACAGTAGCATGGAACCTAACCTGCTGTAAAAGCAGGGTCTACAGTAGCCTGGAACCTAACCTGCTGTATAAGCAGGGCCCTACAGTAGTCATGGAACCTAACCTGCTGTATAAGCAGGGCTCTACAGTAAGCCTGAACCTAACCTGCTGTATAAGCAGGGCTCTACAGTAGCATGGAACCTAACCTGCTGTATAAGCAGGCTCTACAGTAACATGGACCTAACCTGCTGTATAAGCAGGCCCTACAGTAGCCTGGAACCTAACCTGCTGTATAAGCAGGGCCCTACAGTAGCCTGGAACCTAACCTGCTGTATAAGCAGGGCCCTACAGTAGCATGGAACCTAACCTGCTGTATAAGCAGGGCCCTACAGTAGCCTGAAACCTAACCTGCTGTATAAGTAGCCCTACAGTAGCCTGAAACCTAACCGCTGTATAAGCAGGGCTCTACAGTAGCATGGAACCTAACCTGCTGTATAAGCAGGGCCCTACAGTAGCCCAGAACCTAACTTGCTGTATAAGCGGGACCCTACAGTAGCCTGAAACCTAACCTGCTGTATAAGCAGGGCTCTACAGTAGCATGGAACCTAACCTGCTGTATAAGCAGGGCCCTACAGTAGCCTGGAACCTAACCTGCTGTATAAGCAGGGCCCTACAGTAGCATGGAACCTAACCTGCTGTATAAGCAGGGCCCTACAGTAGCCTGAAACCTAACCTGCTGTATAAGTAGGGCCCTACAGTAGCCTCAAACCTAACCTGCTGTATAAGCAGGGCTCTACAGTAGCATGGAACCTAACCTGCTGTATAAGCAGGGCCCTACAGTAGCCCAGAACCTAACTTGCTGTATAAGCGGGACCCTACAGTAGCCTGAAACCTAACCTGCTGTATAAGCAGGGCTCTACAGTAGCATGGAACCTAACCTGCTGTATAAGCAGGGCCCTACAGTAGCCCAGAACCTAACTTGCTGTATAAGTGGGACCCTACAGCAGTCTGGAATCTAACTGCTGTATAAGCAGGGCCTTAAAGTAGCCCAGAAGCTAACCTGTTTTATAAGTGGGGACCTACAATAACTCAGAACAT